AACCACCACAAAACCCCTGCTTAACCAACAAACAGCTGCTGACCTCCTCTGTGCACGTTCAGCTCGAGAAGGGGCTTGTCTTTCTTCAGCCTGAAGTTCAGAAGCATGCTTCAGTCCTTTTTGGTGAGTGAGTTTATTTCTATTTAAACACCAACAACTCCAGCTCAGAGGCGTGATGACACTTGCACCCATAGCAGAGATGTGGGAGCAGGGAGAGATGAAAAACATTACTAAACAATTTTTGAGAACAGCTTCAGACTTCAACTATTGCATACTACTCCCTAATTCTTGTTAGTTACAGGCAGTTCTAGTTACAGGCAGAACTAGTATTTTCTTTCTTTAGTAATCCCTGGGGAAGAGGGAAAATAAATTTGTTTGCCCCCCCAAAAAAAGCCTAATGCTACTGCTCTGAAGTGAACAAAGGTAAATACAATAAACCAACCTCTAACACAGCAATTCTAGAGCAGTCTAGTTTGAATGTTCAGGGATGATTCACCTACACAATATAACTGTGAAATAAAAATCAGACTTCTACATTTCTGGTGGTAAATGAAGCACAAGAAACATCTTAATGTCTTAGGGAAAAGTGTCCCACAGGAAAAAAAAAAAAAAATCCCATGGGGGAACAGACTTCACCTCACACTGCCTATCAGTGAAAAACAACAAGCACAAGGAGAGGGGATGTTTTTCACAAGACACCAAAAAAAAAAAAAAAAAAGACAAAACTGGTAGAAACTGCAGAGCAGCATTAACACTGGATTTAAAGTTCCAGGTATGCTAGGAGCTCATTCAAAACATTTTTCAGGTGGTGCAGCAAACAACCGATCAGCCTCTCTTCTGCTCTGCCATGGTTAGGAGATGTGACAGCTGTCACAACTTGTCTCCCACCCCCACTATTACAAAAAGAGACCAGAGCAGACATTCGCTTTGCTGCAGACAGGAGGATCTGTTCTGTATTTCCAGAGGAACAAGGCAAAGCCTGTACCGTGACACACTATCATTCTTAGTGTTACTCCAACAGCAGCTGAGGAGAACTAGTCAAGACTTGCAGGTTTTGGGCATGCTGCAGCACAGGGGGGTGCAGGCTTAAGGACAAGTTGACAAACAGCTCTTAGCTTATCTCAAGAAGAAACTTGAGCACTCTCTCAGCAGATCACTGAGCTGTAAATCATGTTATGTATAGCAATAAAAGTATCATTAAGATAACTGGAAATAGTTGGTTTGTATTAGATAACAAAAATTTAGGCTTGCAGCTATATAGATGAAAACATCTGTGTGCATTCTGTATCCATCTGAAAAGCCTTCAGCTGTGTTTTAGAAGGGTTTAAGTCTCATAAAAGCACCCCCAACAGCCTTAAACTCAGGTCTAAGTTGTTGTCTGTAAGAACTTAAAGTCTGGAGCTGAATTTTATTTACTTAGGGATGTTTGCTCCTGGGCCATATTCTGTTCTCTTGGCATTCAAGGGTAACTGGTCTAGGGTGACTGGCATGAAACTATACCTTTGTAACAGGGTAAAGCATGAGGAAAGTAGAGTTTTTTTTGTTTGTGCTCAGGTGAACTGTCACATACAACCACAGAGTCTGGGAAGGGGGGAAGCATCTGAAAACAAGTAATACTTACAGAGTTGGAGTGTCTGGGCAGGGAAAGGAGAGCTCTTGCCGAGTTTCATTGATTGTTATTTAAGGTTTGCACCACTTTCACTGGTTTTGATTACCAGTGAGTCTCTGTTCAACTATGAGCTTGGAGTTTGCCAGGAAATGGGTAAGCAGACTGACATTTGAACAAGGGAGTTCTCAGGGCACACGTTTGTCTTGGCCCCTTTGGCTCCAACCAGTACATGAGATATCTACCTCAATTTTGACTTGCAAAAGGAAATCAATACATGTTACTGGAGAACAAGTAATACAAGTAAAACAAGAACAACTGAGGATATTGGAAAAAATAGATTTCTGAATGCTGTTACCTGAAATATTGTGACAAGGTAGAAACTGAGCAAGAGCAGAATATTTAACCAGACCCAGTCTGTACTTCATACATCCCTCGCCCCATGTGTTTAGTCTACGTAAATTTAAAATCCCAAACCTAGAGCAGAATATTTTATGACAAACCCAGGCTATGCCTACAATTCAGTGTTCATAGAACCACAGAATGGTTTGGGTTGGAAGAGACCTTAAAGATCATCTAGTTCTAACCCCCCCCGTGTGAGCAGGGACACCTTCCAATGGAACAGGTTGGTGAAAGCCGTATCTAATCTGGCCTTGAAGCTATCTTATCACAGCTGCCTCCTGAGCCCTGTGCTGTTGCAGTCACTGCTTGTGATACAAACCAGATCTGATAACTCCACACTCCAACATTTCCTCTGGCTAGAGGATGTTCTCATTGCTTTCTAGCAATTTCAAGTGACTTGTTCTTTTTCGAGCAGCTTTGACACGAACAGATCTTAAAATAAGAAACTTCTAAGAACCAGGTTAGGGCCAGGAAAAATAAACTCTGCAAGCTGGGTTGAAACTGATATTCTAAGCAATAAAGTCATTCCATCCAGAAAAGGTTAGTGCTGCTCCAGTTGGTTTGAGAGCTGCTGTTGAGTTTGGTAATCCTGCCCAGTGCAGGAAAAAGGGCTGTGCTGAGCCTCTCTTTTCAACCCAAAGGACCAGCTGTAGGACACAAGACACACCAGGCTGGCTTTCCCAAGAGCCTACTGGAGCCGGAGAGAAAGCAATTGAAACTCATGGACAAAATAAGTGTTTTGATGCTAACTTTAGTAAAGTTTTCCATAGAGAGACAGTTGCATCCATATTTAACAGCTGTTAAAAGAGATACACATTTAATTGCATTATATAAGGGGTACTTTATATTGAAAACACTTCAAGTGTTTTTGTTCTACCTGTTTGGAATCCAGGCTTTCTCCCTAGAAGATACTTCAGTTGACAAAAGGGCCTCGTTCAGATATCTGGGATCAACTGAATACATTTATTTAAAGCAATTTTAAATATTAAAAAAGTAGAAATTAACACATACAGTACTTAAAAACTGTCACATTAAATACATGTGAATAGACATGTGTACTGATGTTTTACCTTAACATTCAATGAGAAGTCAAGATTTTAACTAGTGGCATGACCAGATCTGATTTCTGTACACGTTGATGTACTATGTAATAAAAAAATAAATAGCAACTGTTGTTCAACAGTAAATAAGACATCATCTGCAGAGCATACTTCCCCCTCTGGGGGCACCTTCCCCTGACCCTCCCCCCAACCCCTTACCAGCTAATTTTTTCATAAAGATTTAGACTTTCCAAATACTATGTCATGTACAAAATTGCAGACAGTGGCTCATTGAGTTCAAATATAATACTGTACTTAAACTCAATCAATATCATACATTTTCAGATTTCTTATGACCCACAATAAGCCAGAATAAACAGAACTATTGTTCCCGATGGAACTAATTCAACTTTATAAAATGCATATGTATACTATTTTAAAGAGCGTAGAAAAGAATAGACATTTGACTCTACATAATTTTACATGCCTAGGTTTTCTTTATATGATTTCTTTTATCAGTTTATTTCAAGATCACTTAAAAATACAATTGATCACAAAAGTGAATAGGTTTTGTTCTTTAATGCAACTTAAAAACACTGTAGTAATGGATAAAACGGAATGCTAAATAAATGCTAGTCCTGACTTCCTTTCCATAAAAAACAGAATAAAGTCTGAAATACTGGAGCTGGTAATACTGAGGATTAAATGCCAGCAGACTCGCTCGCTCACTGCATAATTCTTTTTTTGTTTAATAAACTTTTGTTATAAATGATAAAACCATTAACAGTTCATAAATGTTTTGCATTTTTTTTCCATATGGGGTTTAGGCCAGTATTTGTTTCTATATTAACCACAAACAGAATTAAATATTCACTGACTACAGCTTTGTAAAACTGAAATAAAAATGAAAGCCCTCAAAGTCTGAGATGTGCTTTTATGAAATGAAAATCCTTCCATGCAGCCAAGACAATCTGCTTTGAAATAGCAGTACTAGGTACTGAAGCCAAAATAACATTGAAAGCAACTAATATAAAACTACACATGAAAGTCATGGAACCTGCTACAGACAAACTATGGGAAAAAACACAACTGCGTGATGTTCCAGAAGTTAAAAAAAAAAATATGTTGAAAGGTACATAGGAAATGAAAGTTTCCAGTAATACATAGAAGTGTTTTCTGGCAATGCAGCTTTAAACCAACTTTCAAGAAACCTCAGGTAAAATGCAGCCTTCCAAAACTTTTCTTAGAAATTAGCTTTATGACAGTACATTTGTTACTTGGTGCTTTGAATTAAGACTATGACAGAGTTTAGTGAACTCTACTAAAACTAGCCTGATACTTGTGATCTGAGTTCTAACATTGACAACCAGATCAAATGCATGAGACGTCATCCTTAACATTCCACTTTTTAGAGCAATTAAAAATAATTTTGAATTATCTTTATATCACCACTTAAGAAATTTTATTTTAGGTAGCAAGGTTGAAGACAGGAAAAAAAAAAAAAAACAACCCACAAAATAATTTTTCAAAGAGCCAATTTAGCTATAAACAAATACTGTTGCAAGCTCACAGTAACCTGAATAGCAGTCAATTTAAAATGTTCTTTTCTTCAAATGTAGCTACATGACTATAGTGCTACTTTTGTACAAAGGCAGGTTTCAAGTAAGCGTCTAAATGCATGCATAATGTCAACAGACAACATCTTCTAGAAGTCCTTGGTCACTAAGGATTCAGTGAAAGAAACCAGCAAATTTCACATATATCTACTAAAGAACAATATGACTAATTTGCATTAAAGTAACTTTTTGAATGAAATAAATTTGTAACTTTTCACAGTGAGGTAATATCACAGGGGAACTGCAATCACAGTTTGGCATAGGTCCACATAATATAAACATGAAATGCTGTATGCACACCATAAAACATTACGGTTACCTGTAAAGTCAGTGAATATTTGTCTTCATAATTACACTTAACTGAGCACTATATTAAATAAATACCAAAGTGGGTTTCATAGCTGTAAACTGCATACACTTATAAACTGCAGACTGATTTTTAAATTGTCCAAAACCATTCACTCATTCTAACTTTCTGCTAACTGTATATTAAGAATACCAAGTTATTAGGAACAGTCATTTCTGTACAGTTACATGGCTGACAGAGACCACCTACATTTGGAAAGCTGGCAGTTCATACCTATTTTGAACAGCATAGACAGAAATGTAAGTGCTAGATGCCCAGGATGGCTTCAACGAACCCAGTAAGGCGTGCCAGGTTCCAAGGCTACCATAATACTGGCAAAGGCAGAATAACACAGTATATTTACAATACATATAACTCAACCTCATGAGGTGAAACTTAAATGAATTATTAATTTGTAACAGCAGCTATATATACAATTGTGCACAGGATTACAAAGATGCAGCAGCGTTCGCTTTTGCTAAAAAGCCCGTCTTGCATGAAGAATGTGCAATGCTCAAGTTTAGGATTTTTTGTTTATTTTTACTAGTCTGACAGAATGTGCACAAAGGACACTGGAAAGACCCCTTTCCTCTCTGGCTGTCCTTCGATGTGGCCAATCTGCAACACAGGAGAAAAACGTACATATATGTGTGTGTGTATATATATATATTTATATATATATGCATGTGTATGTACACAGGGAATTCACAGACTGCATTTACTTCACTCAGAAGCAGCAGAACTGCATGGATCCTACAAAGCATTTGAAAGTTCTTGGACAGGTTAAAGCAGACCTTAGTTAATGTTTGAATTTGCATAATGGAACAATATAAAACTGTACAAGCATATTAGAAATAAGACAAATTAAGGTAACTAAATCTAAAGAGAACAACACAACTACAAATGAATAGGGAAACCTAGAAGGGGTACATCAGTCACTGAATTTCAAGACTCTCACCAAAACAAGCCTTATTTTCTTTTGTCTGATATATCTTGCTACTGCAAGTTAGTCTGTCTTTCAAATGCATTCATCTTATTTAACTGAATAAATGTCACTTGAGAGAAATGTCTGCTACAGTTGTGAAGCTAGTTGCAATAATCTGCATGCTTCACTTAAAGTGAAAAAGGCCCAGCTGTTAAATTAGTATAATTCCTAGTAATTTCTGTACATGAGTGTTTAAGAAATCACAGTATTGTCAGATTAAGTATACTTCACATACAACTTGTATATGTTTTAAATAATAACAGTAGTAATAATAATAATAAATATCCAATCAACTGACAAAAAAATGAAAACAGAGCTTCTGTATGAACTTTATATGTTTTAAATGCATCATTCTAAACACCTGTTCAACTGATAGTACTGGAGGAGCAGCCTTGACTGACCACACAGCCCTGTTCTCATCCTGCTACAGTACTGCTCTCTACTTTCGGAATAACAGTGTACCTCCTTCCTCTTCCACAGCTAACAAAATGGGAAGGGGAAACATGCAGGGCTGGCCATTTCCTCTTGTAGAGCCGAATTTTTGAAGCATATGAGTCAACAGCCCTCATTTCCCTTCTCAGAAACACTCAGACTGGAACACTTCATGGAACTTGTCAAGTATGTACCCAGGGATCTTAAAAAGCCATTTCACAAAACAGATTCAGCAACTAATACAATCAGCTTTTTACTGGGCATTGCTCTTTTGATGCATTGCTCTTTTGAGTTGAAAATCTTCCACCCTTAAATCATGGGTGAGGGGAAAACATGTAGCTAGAGCCAAATAGCAAAGGTTGTTCTGCACTGAGAGTAGGAAACAATAGGCAGCACTGTGGTAAGAATTTGTTTTAATCAAAATGGAATTGGTCTCATTTTCTTGACTAATAACTGTTAGGTAGAAAAGTATGATGTAGCAGGGCTTTGGTGACCAGAAGTATAGTGTCAAGGAAGGACTGGAGCCTTCAAGTGGGATTGAGAAAGAACCTGATGTTAACACTCAGGAACCTAAGACAGTATGTGGTCCAGAGTAAGGGGGAGTACGATACAAACCGATGGCATGGGCAGGAAGAAGAGAAAGAAAATGTCTCATTTAAGGAGGAAAGCCATCAGCTTACAGCACTAATTACAAATAGTTCTTCAGTCTTCCAGCAACCCCTCTATGTATAACTTAACATTTCTGGTGAACTGAAGATAATGGCTTCTCTCATTTCTCATGAAGAGGGTAAGCACACCAAAAGGAATAAAAATCACCACCTCTTCATTTAATGAAAGGCTAGTGTGCATTACTAAGAGTGACATCTGTAAACACATGTTGCTATGAGCCAGCAATAAAGCCAAATTTAGTTGGGTAGTTTTAGCAGACTCCCAGGAAGAAACAGACCCTACCAAATAAAGTGGGTCCTTTCTAATACAAGTTTAAGGGCTGGATGTTAGCTCAGGCAAAACACTCCTCAAAGCCAACAAAACAAACTAAAATAACAACAAACTCCCCACATTTGAGAAAGAGGCTTTCCTCTAAAAGTCATAAAGAAGTTATGTAGAACTATAAAGGGAAAAGATACATACCCACCACTCTTGGTCCTCTTCACCAGTTACAATAATGACTTCTCCTTCAACAAATGTCAGCTCATCATCATTATCTGCCTGACAGTCATAAATGGTCTTCACTCGCCTAACTTTGTTTTTCCCCTAAAAATAGAATGAAGTTTTAGATGAAGGACACGAGGAACAGCAAACAAACCCCACGTATTTATAATTTGCCTTGTAGTTATGTTTTTACAAGAAGGTAAAGACTAACAAATTGCTTTCCTCACAATTGGGGACATGACATTCAAAACCACTGCTTCAACAATGACATTATACAAAATACATAAATAAATCATTACCTTCACAAGTATGGGTTTTCATTCTCTTAAGATTCAGAAGTCCCAAGAGACTTCCATGTCTCATGCACAGCCTAAGCAACCTATGCTTCCTCCAGTAAAGATAGCTTAAGCAATGTCTTTACATTGTCCCAGTCCACAAACATCCTCTTTCTCATTTAACACACACTTCATTAAAAAAACCACCATGAACAGAAAACGAAATTGAATCTGCTCTGAAAGTTACAAGAGGGGTAAATGCTGCATTGAAACTCCAGTATTCCTCACAGTTCTGATTTTGAATCTAGTCCAAAAATACAGTAACCTTTGATTTCTGATCTGCTTATAGAACAATAAGTTATTTTTAAAATTATTTTTCATCCATTATGTTAGCAATTTCTCACTAAAAGACTCCCAATTTCAAATAGCAGTACTATTTTGTGGTGATAATTCACAATAGATTTTCTCACTGCCCAGGCATTTGGAGTGTAAATATTTTCTAGGTCATACTTTGCTGCATACTGTTAACTCACAGGAAAATGCCCAAGCCATGGACTCCTCCCTAAACATATGTTTCTCACAGCAGGGAAAAGGCTTTAAATTATTTCCAAATAGAGTAAGGAAGTGAGTTTCCCAGCAAAACACTCCTGCTACTTTATATTCCTATTTTTCATATGCACACTTCTTCAAAAACTACAGTTACTTCTTTAAACAGAAGTAGTCACACAAGAAGAAGGCAAAAGCAACAAGAGCAGCACAAGGAGATGAGAAGCAGAAGGGCTATGAAGGAAAAGTCAGCAGGTTTAGAGGAATTTGAGCCAAAAGTAACTTCACAGAGGAAATTTCCTAGGGAGCCTGCTCTTTGCTATTACCTATGCACTTGAAATACCTCCATGTTTTGCAAAAATATCTCGCTGCAGATGAACAGCAGCCAGACACAAAGCAAAGATCACTCATGCTAAACTCAAGGTACAGAAAAATAACAATTACAGAGGAATCTAAGGGACAAAGCAGTTAACACAACAACGTAAGACAAAAAACCCCTTACTCAAGACAGAAAAACAAATACCTGAAGTTCGTATAAGATCAAAGGTTTTTTTACAGCAAGTGATTGCTGCAGCAAGGAGTTACTTCAAAGAATGCTTTCTCTCTTTTTAAAAATGAATTAATATAATTTGGAAAAAAAATCTTAACTATCACTAGGAATTGGAATTAGGTATTAATGGGTATTTTGGGCCAGCCCCAGCTTTCAACTCCAGAGAACCTTTACAAACTAAGAACACTTCCTATCAATCCCCCAGTGATGAAGGGGAGCAATTACTGCCAGATAAAAATGGTCTCATTCAATAAAGAGACTAAAAAAAATAATAAAATTTATATTCCTTTAATCTTAGAGAACTGTATGCAACTCAGCTGGTAGGAACACACAAAGAATTATGGCAGTTGATCCTGGTTCCTTCTGATTAGTACCACACATGACATTTTAATATTCAATTCCTTTCACTTAGGAGAGTGGTAAAAAGGAGAATTCAAGCCCGAGGCATATTTAGACTTGGAAAGGTTTCAAAAAGGATGGATCTGAAGAGAGCATATATTTTCCAGGACACAGTTTGGGGCACTGGTGTGAAAAGAAATAGAAGCAATTCCAGAATATGTAATTTGCTAAAATGAAACAAATATTTCCCACCCCACCCCCAACTCCTTGTACACAGGATTAGTACATATTAAGAATATATTTTTATGCTTAAGACTGGATAATAATCAGCTGCTGTGGTCATTATTAATCTCTCCATGTTCTTATTTACCTCCATCTTTTCTTTTCTTTTTTTTTTTTTTCTTAAAACAAATAATTTATAGATTGTCTCCTTTATTGAAAAAACACACACAGACAAAGTAACACGGAAGTGCTCTGTGTGATTTCAGAAGCACTCAGGGCAAGTTTCGTTTCTCTAAAAATATCCTTTCTAGTCCTTATACATTAACAGCATCGGTATTTTTTAACCTTATAATTCTGAACAACTGATTCTCTAAAACTTCCAGTCAAAAAACAGAGGTCATCTATTTACAGGCTAAATAGTCAAACCAAAAGTGAAGTACCCACAGGTACTAGCAGCTGCTGTCACAGCTCTGACTGCTGAGATGCGGTGCAGCCTTTGACCAGTCTGTGCAGAGACAATAGAGCCAGAGGATGAAAATGGAGTCAAGATACATTGAAGAGGAATTCTTGCACATTATCTCTTGAGCAAGAAAGACTTCAGCAAACAAGAAGAGATACAAGTGTGCATGTGATATGTAGAAAACTGGAAAGTAGTTATCACAGGTACATCATAATTTTGATCACTACGAAACAGTGAAACTGTTTAATTTACTGCACATGTGAAAATGGCTGAATTTGGAGCATACTGAATCCTTCCTCAGATTTCTTCTATCTAAATAAGGTGAGAGTTACAAACCAAACAACACTCCAATGACAACAAAAAACCAAACCAAACAACTAATCCACTATTTGCTTTCTTTCCTTCTTTAATAAAATGACAAATAGCTGAGAACATCCAGCATCATTTGCCTGCTTACATTTGAAAGTATATATGTAAGTAAACAAATCATAGTTGCAGGTGCTTTTGATCAGATCCCTGTACTACTTTATTTCATCTCTTGAACACTTAGGAAGCCTGAGGAACAAGCCTGTCACTCTCAATTCAGACAGGAGCATACAGACAAGTCTATGACAGAAGCCAAGCAGAGTGATGGCTTCAGAGAAAAAGTTCTTCCTCAGACAAGGACAGGAAGGGAGAAACTCACCCTCTGCTTGCACTACAAAAACAGAAGACTTATTTCCTTTTACATAAGTGCTTTGCATAGCCAATTTGACAAGCAAAACCATCTCCTTTTTGATGTATTCTTAATGATGAAAATCCTAAGCGAGCTCTGAAGTTTCATAAAAAGGTTTCAGTTTACATATGCATGAAGAATCCTCTGCTGGACAGAAATTGCACCGGTTAGCAAGACGAACAGCAAGACAAACTGGGGGTTGAACAAGCGGATTTGAAATCTAGTTATAGTTCCAGTTCTGCTACTACACACCATTTGGCCATGTCAATTGTGCCACTTCAGCAACGTATCTGAACCTATGTTAACCAGTGAAGTGCACCAACATTAAATACTCATGGCAGGAACATTTACTAGTTGGTCACAGTCAACCTGTACTTGATTTTTTTTTATCTACTGACAGTAGGTGCTAACATTCTTTCTCAAAGATTACAAAAATCAAGTATATAAATAATCTAGCAATCTAAGGCACACAAAGTAGTGAGCAAAGACACCAAGAAAAACACCAATTAATTCAGAATTATGACTGGCACAGATAAAAATGCTCAAGTTCCCTAATAAATCTAAATATGCTTTCCCTAATAAATCTGAATATGCTGTCATGTTCCCAAGACTATTGTTTTATGTTACTAGTATTTGTTTCAGCATGCAAGAGGCCTTGGAAACTCCCATCATTTCCTGAAACTTCTTGGGAGCCAAAAAAAGAGCTTCTCATTCCCCATCCTAGTCCATAATGTTATATTCCTTTGTGGTGCATAGCTCAAGGGTGGGTTGTTTGTTTTGCGTTTTGTTTTGTTTTGTTTTTTGCAAGGATAGTCCTACAGTAACTTCAAAGCCTTCCATGGATACTCTCAACTAGTTGGAATGATACCTACCATATTTATTTTCCTGGGAAGCGGCACAGGAGTTTCTGGCAGGGTATGTGTTATGTCATTAGACTCTTCAGATGCTTGCCTTTGGACGGTGTCTCTAGATTGTACATTTGGAGAAAGATCTAAGGAGTGAGATTTTTGATTTGCTTCTGAGGGCTGAGGCTTCAGTGATGCTTCTCCACCTTGAGTTTTAGCCAACAGCTCTCCTAGCTGAGGTTTTGGAGGAAGGTCCTTCATTTGTGGCTTTGGAGGTAAGTCTCCAAGTTGTGGTTTTGGTGGCAAGTCTCCTAGCTGAGGCTTTGGGGGTAGTTCTCCAGGCTTTGGGGGTAAATCTCCCACTTGAGGTTTCTGAGTTAATTCCAGAGGCAGAGGCTTTGGGGGCAAGTCTCCAGGTTGTGGTTTCTGTGGAATATCGATGGACAGTGAGGGCTTCTGAAACATTTCCATGTGCTGATGGGATTTATCTATTGAAAGATGATGACTGGTTTCAATTTTTCTTAGTGCCACTGAAAGAGAAGAGCATAACAATGTTTTTTCACAATCTCATTTTAATATTAAAGAACTTAGGCAGGTATCAAAACTCTTAACTGTGTAAATGACCACATGTTCACTGAGCCTTGGTAACTGTCCATGTCTCTTCCTAATCTATGACCAATACATGATAACACAACTTCACATAACCCACTTTCACCAATGTCTCATTTATTTCTCCTCCTGGAGGCAATAAGGGCTTAATCCAACAGCTACGAGGTCACTCCTTGAAATGAAGTGATTGCACTTAAACAAAACCAAAATATTAAATATAAGAAAAGACGTATTTTGCAAAATAACCTATCACTGACATGACTCCAGTGAAAATTCTCATTAATGCCAATTATTCCTATATAGAGTTGAACTCCACACAGGAAAACCCTAAAGCTCAGGATTAGTAACTCTAAAATCTTAAAGAGAGGGAGCATCTGCCTATAGTGTACAGACTAAGCTGTATTATTGACATTCAACTTATTGTAATTATTACAATTTAGTCAAGATAAGAAGTTTTAAACGCGTATATTTTCCATTTTTTATGAAAGGAAATTGAAAATAGCTTTTCAAATAGTTTTTTCTCAGTGTCATACAACGATTCTACTGCAAAGTTCCCTAAAAAAACCTGACTGAAATCTACCTTAAAACAAAAAAAACCAACCTCCCAAACCAAACAACTCTATATTAAAACAGATGGAGGGGGGACAGGAGAGAAAACAAGTTACAACTATGGTGAAAGCAACACCTTTTGACTAGAAGGAAGAAATTTCTATCGTGTTCAGTACTGCTTTAGTATCATATTCTAGCATCCAAAAAGGCAGCCTGACATTTTGCTATGAAAGGAACACCACCTCCTGCAATAAAACATACATGCTATATGTATGGTTATTTATATATATATAAAAGAAAACTTTGCATAATTTCCATGAAATAAATTGTATAGCTACTGTAAAATGGCTTATTTAAAAAAAAATGTCTGTGTTGATACCTGTATATGGCTTTGTCTCCTGACTTACCTAGCAGCAAATGTACAAGCACCAATCATTGACAATGGTTAGGTCAATGATAAGAAAAATGACAGTAGTATTTATCAAAGTACTTTGATTGAGTCCATCTTAAACATTTACCTACACAGTTTTAAATCAAGGAAGTGCTGACTTCCTTTGCAGTGGTTTGTCTCCAATGTATAAGCACACATGTAACAGTACCTGATTCTTTTCAATTACAAGGACAACCACCCTGATTGCCAAAACATGGCAATAGACACAACTTGCTGCAAGGTTATCAAGAAATTTGATTTATGGATATTAGGAAGAAAAAGAATTTACCATCGAATGTGGTCAAAGACATAAACAGGAGACCAGAGAGGTTACCCCATGAAGATACTCAAAATGTGACTGGACATGGCCATGTACAACCTGCTCTCATGTAAAAAAGTTGGTCCTGCTCTGAGTGGTGGACTGGCCTGGCTGACCTCCTGACATCTCTTCCAGTTTCAACTAGTTTATCATTTCCCCCACCACCACCTCCTCCTCATGTTGTGTAGGTCTAACTACTGGTTTGGATTAATAAAAACCTTCCTGATCTTTCAAAATACTTCCAGTTTTTCTAAGCTTTCATGGTTTGTGACATTTTAGAAATAAAACATTTGCTGAAAAGATCCATATATTTAAACAAGTGTCTACTTTCATACACATTTAAAAGGTATAATTATGGGAATAAGAACAAAAAGAAGTCTCACCTTTTTGAGGTAGTTTGGGAAGAACTCTAGGGCCAAGTGCAGTCTTTGCAGTCCCAGTGCTAAATCAACAGATATGAATTATTAGTGCTTACAACAGTTACAAAATACTTTTCTTTTTTTCCCCTTTATACATCCCACAATCTAATAAAATCTACATTTATTCTGCTTCTTTTGTATAACCAATTTGTCATCTTGCCTTTGGATCAATCCCAAAACTCAAAGCAGTGTTAAGAATGAACTGCTTTTTCAGGGAAAAAGACATACAAATCCCACACAGCTTTAATGCTACAGGGCAGATTTTTTTCTACAATCTAAAGGTATATGCAAAAACGTACTCTGGGAATAGATGAAGCTGAAATATAAGCTCAGTGAGCAGATCCTGAAGGTTAAGGAAAATTTGATCTTTAAAATAACTATACTGAAACATTCACAACATATCTGTTCTTTATGTCAGTGGTTTGAAGTTTTCCAGGACTGAGCCTATGCCTTGGAGCCTACTGCATGAGCATGATACTGTCTCACACACAAGTTGCAGCTGCATTAGCAGGCAAAGTCTCTGCCACTCCAAGGAAATACTGATCATTGTGGGAAAACAACATGCTTTCCATCAACTTGTTACAGCTGTGTTAGCTATTTGTAATGGTAAGCAACAATACAAGCAGGACAGTTGTGAGTAATTTAATTACAGCATAAAAATCTGAGATAGTAGCATAGTACCAAAACTTTTTCTTTCTGTAGTAGATGGCTTTTTTTCATAATAAACACCAGGCTGGCTCACATTTGCAAACATGGCATGCAAGGATAAATCATACTACAGATTTAAACAAAACTCCACCAAATATCTTCCACCAAAAACATACAGGAGTCACTTCTATAGAAAATGACTGTGGATGCAAAGCCAATTGATTTAAGGCATAAAAATATAACAACAAATAGTCAAATAAAAACCAGTATCACCTCAAAAGAATTACTCAAAAAACAAGGAAAAAGAAAATGAGTGAGGAAGTTGCCAGAATGTGTTCAACAGAGCAGAGAAACTACATGAACAGCCTTGATTCTGGTATTTGTCTCTGAAGCTAATGTTTCAAAATTAGTACAGTGACACATTTCTACCTGAATTTTCAATCTTTTTTTTTTAACAGTCAAAATACACGGTGACACTAAACTGAAAGAGCAGCCAAGCTCAGTCTTGATTCAATAAATAATTACCTCAGCCATTACTTAATGCCATCAGGCATGAGTACCACACCTTGTCTTACAAGTATCAAGTATAGCACCAGCTCTTTGTGTCACAGAACATCAGCACAATTTCCCAGAACACCCAGTGCCACCTGGATGGATTCAAACATGGCAAATCAGCTGTGCTACGAACAGGGCAGATGGCAGACTGAGGACTGTCCTGAAACTCTACCTACACATCTTCTATGATTTGTTTGATGTTACACATCCATCTCCAGATGGCTTGATCACACAGATAGTGTGGTCATGCAGGCTCTCCATCCTGTTGCCTGAGGCACAAACACTAAGTAACAACAACAGTAACAAACACTAAGTGACAGGAATGTATGTCCATCCTTAGTAGCACATCTATTGAAAAAGACACTTGTAATGTACTGACTTGAACTATGTGCTAAAAGCAGTTGGTGTTATTACAAACTGCATGTCAGCACAGAAGCTCCACAGACTGGAAAAGAGTTAAGCTGGAAGACTGAGATGAATTCCCTCTCTTATAGAGCTGTCTTCGATGCCAGCCTGTACCCTGTGACACTTCTGCAGCTACATGCCTGAGACCTCACATTGAAGCAGATAAAATGAAATGCCAGGAAACATAAAAATAAAACTTTTGTCCCACTGGACTGCAGTCTGAGGCAACATTCCCCAGCTCAGAGAGCACTTCTGTAGGAGCGGTAGAGAGATTCTGGTACAAGTCGTTCTGTCCATCCTGCTCAAAGGATGAATTGTGTGCGGACAGCTATGAACAAAGTGTAGGAGGCTCAGTGTAGCCAAAGTATTTGTTTGGCAGTGAGGCAGGCAGAAAATGAAGGAGGAAACATAGCTATGACTTTACTTCATGTGGAAGGCAATTTTTTTCTAATTTGCAAATTAATTATTGTTAATTTTCATAGTTGCCTCCATATCCACAGATTTTACCTCGACTGCTGAGACATCCCCTCGAATTTGTTTGCAGCCTTAGTTGAAGGTGGGCCCAAATCATTACCTGTGGTGAAAAAAGCACAAAAAAAAAAAAAAAATCAGGATAATGAAATATCATCAACAGATGGTGCAACTTAAAAGCAAAGCACACATTCTTCCAAGTAATCTTTATACAACATGTCTAAAGATTCTAAAGATCAGTCTTTATTAATAATCTTGTAACTGAAAAAGCAGCAGGGACCATAATAATCCAACTTGACCTTTCATGTAACACATTTTAGAACTGGTAGCTGGTAGCTCACATCTGCTGGCAAGGAAAGAATGAATGACATTGCTGAGTTACTGCTGTAGGACATTTGTTTTGAATACAGTGTTTGAATTCTCTCTGAATAGAAGGAGATATTGCAAGCCAGTATTAAATAAACTTATCACAGATGTTTACATTTTGTGTTAAGAAACATCTTTTTAAAACCACCATGGATGTGATTTTATTCACAAAACATCAAATTTCTAAGGTCTGGTATTTTGACCTAAATAAAAGAACAGTCTTTGCTGATTTAATGAGTAAGTACGTTGGTGAAGAAAAGATCCTAGGTAACTTAAATTCTGTTAAAAGGCCAGAAAATCCAAACTCAAGTGCTTCTGAATTCCTTCAGCAGAAGGCTTCTCTTTCATTAACCATCACCATTCCAAAGATACGATTATACTAACTACTTTGTTTTTGTGCCTTTATTATTCCCCCTTCCATTTTTCATTACAGTGTCTCTAAACAATCTTAGAACCATCTTCAACATCCACTTTTAAATGTTGTCACTGAAACAGATGTAGTGACATTTAATGATCCAAGAACACAAAATACTTCCCATGCAAAAGAATAATGCGTTTGTCTAGATACCTTTCTTAGTGCATTAAAGTCTAAATAGAACAGCAGAAAAGGCTCATTTTGAGCCTTGATAAAAATATGTTTACATTTAAAAGTAAAAAAAAAAAAATAGAAGAAAGAAAAAAAAAAGGTAAAACAAACAGCAAACTCTTCACATGTGGATCCAAGAAAAAGTATCTCCTGGTTGCTATGGAAATCCAAAATAATCTACATGACATTTTTAGGACATCTTTGGATACTAACTCCCTTTGCTTAGAAATAAGCTAAGGACTGCTCTGCTTGAAACTTCAATTACTGCATAGATAAGAAAACAAATGCTGAAATTCAACATAAGAAATGTAACAACACAGAAAAAGCTTCTTAAAAGGAAAGCAGTGAACATGTAACAATATTATTAAAGCAAAACTACACAGGCAGATACAAGAAACTCCCTCTTTTATAATTGCAAGACTTAATACTTGCTTAAAATCCAAATGAACTTTGAAACAAGATTTTGTAGAGATCTTAGTTAAGGAAAAGAAGAGAAGAGGGCATGGAAGAGGTTCCAGCAACTGAAATTTAGTCTGCAGTGGAGAGCAGAAGAGAGGCAGAATAAACAGTGGTCTTCTCTGGCCCCTCTTTGAAAAGGTATTTTACTGCTATAAGGTTCTTCATCTTCAACTCCACACCTGCAGCTTTCTCGTATTTTCCTTTCCCTTTATCTGTTATCTAATCTTTTTAAAGAAAAGCTGGCACTAGCTTAGTGTCTGTTCCTTCCACACCTTTCATTCTAACAGTGTTACAGTACACAGTATTCCAATATATGGTATCTTCGGTGCTGTTTTGGACTTAAATATTTAAGCTTTTTAAAATTTTTGAAGTCCAAGCTCTTCAAAATGTCTTTACTACCTCTGAAATAGTACAGGGCTGTTAAGACTCTAGATATAGGAAACATTCTTTCCATATCCCAGACATCTGAAAATATTGCCATTATTTGTGTTCCTTGAGAAAGACTTTGCTTTTCACTAGACTCTGTACTTCTCTTCATATTAAATCCTAGATTAAAATCACAGATTCTAACTATGAACACTCCATGATTTATCAGCTCAATTTGCTGGAAAAAACCCAAACAATGGTGCTTTTTTTTTTCCAGGCTGGTAATTTTGTGCTTATATTGGACCAGAGAGAGGATACTCCTAAGGTATAAGTAGTGTATCGATGACTCCCTTATGTAAGCATTGGATTCCAGCTCAAATATTCATAGATTTATGGAAATCTTACCACCAAGACTAAAATTATAGAAATTTACATGAGCCTGAGATTTATAGCTACCAGGAGAAGCTGACTGCATAAAGCAAATGTTTATTGAAAAAAGAAAGAATGTGAGCAGTCTGGAAAAAAAAGTTTCTAAAAAGCTCCTGTCAGAAAAGTATCCTGTTAGGAAAAGAAAAGTGCTGTTACTGTGTAATTTCTGCAGGTAGAAGGCTGCGAACCTATCTGTCTTTGAATATGTACAGACAACATCACAAAACCCAGAAACATATTAAGACAACACATCCCCACAGGTAAGTGCAAACACTTTACAGGAGAGACCTGGCATTGAGCCCAAGGAAACAAGCTCTTGTGGCAATCAGACCTGCATGTATTAACTGAGGTCTATCTGCCCCAAATCAATGTCTGTCTAGAGTAATGACCTGGTCAGAACAGGAGCAGGGGTGAGGAAGCAGATGCAGAGTAGATGCAACAGATCTGGGGGCCAGGGTGAGGGCAGCTAAGGTAAAGAGGGAGTCAAAAAAGACTGAACTGGGCCCCAGGAGAGGATAGAATATTTTCAGTTTTCTCAAGTGAGACTCAGATACAGAAGCCTGGAAGCTAGAGTGACAGAAGATAGAACTGTCGATTTATCTGAGCTTACATTACATCAAGCTGCAATCATTGGAAAACAAGCACCAGGTAAAGAGAAACCAAAGATCATATATCATCCATCATAAAGGTTTTCCCCTGCCTTTTTGGTTTGCGTTTCAAAACTCACCCCAAGGAATTGGGCCCTTATTCTGGGGTCCATGAGGTAGTGGGCTTGGTGGGTCAGAGAGGGTTCTTTTGTGTCCTGGGGGTGGGGGAGGTGGTGACTAGAGGTTTGAATGCTTAGAGGGAGGGTTGAAGGTGGGCCTGTAAAATAACAAACAATCTTCTTACAAACACATGTGTATAAATGTCAAAGCAGCACTGAAAAATCCACAGTCAGACCCACAGTGAAGTGCAGCAAAAGACTAAAATAAAAAGACAAGCCATGCCAAAACAGTGTTCTATTAAATGACACATTTACCACATTTTTAATGATATTAGCTGTGGGAATACCAGCAACTTGACAACAGAATGAGACGTGTATTTATGTTTAAAAATTACATGACTAATTACTCCAGGATTTCTATTTTTAGGCATCGTTCTAAAAAAAGAAAAACATATGAAATCTTAAAATTCATTTAGCATTTGAAGTTAACATTACTATTAATTTAAACCAGAATGAAATAGCTCTTTAGATGTATTACGTGGGCATTTTTTTCCCCTCCAACACATCCCATTCAAATGCTCTTAATAAACTTGCGGGGTGAGGGCAACAGAAAGCTATCAACAAATTTTCCCTGCATTTTGAAAAACGTTTCTTGTGGTTATTTTCCCTTTCATTCTGTGCCTCAAATACATCAGAATATGCATTTTCAGAGCAATGGAAATTACCGTATGCTGTGTGTATAAAATAAACATCGGAAAAGTCCTTTCTGAGGCTCAGATTAGATATTTACTGGTAGCTTTGCTTACCAGAAGTTACACAGTCACCCCTACTCTGTAACCCTTATTTCCTCCTGCATCAACTTTGGCACAAGTATTATTCCACACAATGCATGTTTTACGGGATGAGGGAACAGATATAGATTAAAAGACAAAATAACCCAGAGGGAAGACAAGAGTTTTCCCTAATCAACTTCACCTTCAAAAATGTCTTTAATAAGAAGCTCAAGGAAAGAGGCCATGCAGAGTGCAAATGTGCAATGAGGGGAGAACTGCTTAAGTCAGCTGCCACTCCTGCCAAAAGAAATTACTTGTAACACTTACTGAAATTAGTTCTACATGAGGTTAGAATAGCTTTAAGGGTTTTGTTGTTGGAGATTGAGGGGTTTTTTGTGTTTGTTTTGGTTGTTGGGCTTTGTTTTTAATCTAACAAAAAAATAACACTTCACTGCAGTTGTGATCTCACAGTAAGTTTCAAATGTAAGAGCTTTGCTATCACATGCTCTGGATAAATGCAGAAAATCATAATAAATTTTCACAAGCAAAGTGTATTGATACCTGAAATTTCAATTCTATTGTCAGCTCTTTTTTGTATCACAATAGAACCTACTTGCTTATTTTTGAAAGCATAAATTATTTGAGCAGTATTTGAGACAAAAACTTAATTTTGTGTATCAGCACATACCTTAACCTGCATACAGAAATAGAGTTGCCTCTTTAAAAATATTACCAGTGTCTATAACTAGACTGGAAATTACCAAAGACAGTCTTACTCCACAAATTACTGTATGTCATACAAGTATTAAACTCAGTGAAGAATAATCTATGCTAGAATTCCTTACATGAAACATTAAACACTGAAAAAAAGTAACTTCTATTATCCTCTAAGCATGTGTAAGTTTACCAGATATTTTCAGCAGGTGACCTCCCTCTTTCTTCTAAACTGTAAAGGGAAGTTTAATAAAACTGCCTGCAATGAGTGAATAATTCAATGTGTTTGATTGAACAGATTCAAGCCTGGAAGGCCTTTTGCTGCTAGGAGAGTCTCTCAACCGCAACCCCAGCAGGTATTTTGTGCCTGGCTTTTCATTGTTTACTCCTGTAAATCAAATTATATATTTTGCAAAGTCCACAAAGCCATTAATTGACAAGCAGTCAAATGTTAGTGCAAATTAGTAAGATTGTTCCCCAGTTTGTACCCTTTCTCACTTTAATTTATCCCATGATACTAAGAACACACACTGATTTAAACTATGCATTTAAATATTTCTGCCAGCAAAAAAACCAAAACTTTTTTCACACTAAGTTTTGACTGACAATCCACTAGACTTCTGCAAGTTATAAATTCTTCATTTCACTAAAATATATCTTTATCTGAGGTTGTTCTATAAATCATAACTCAGAATCTATCTAGAAGTAGCAAGGGCGAAAGGAAAGTTCAGTATCTAGAGTTAACAGCAACATTATTTTTAAAGCACATGGGAAACATACACAGATATTGGTACAGTATTTCTCTCTAGTCCTGACATCTCAAATAGGAATGATACACACAAAAACTGTCTGCAAGTGGGGCTGGCCAACTCTGCAGAGGTTCTGTCCTACCACCACCTCGTGTCCTGCTGTTTGTACTGCACAACAGCCTGACTACTCAACACCAACACAGTCTCCAGCCCTGCCACAAATGACAAATAGCTGAAAAAATGCCTTAAAGGAAAAAAATGTGGAGGAAATGCACTGAAATACTATTGCATGCTTATTGCAAAAATAAAACTTCAGACATGAAGGAAAATTTGTATTTTTTTTACTGACAATAAAATGGGAGACTCCTTCTCTACAAAAAGAATTTTTAGTATTATTAAAAAATCTTTAAATGTGGTTATTTGGACTTTTTTTTTTTTATTTCAGACTAGTAGTACATCTCCAGACATCACAGAAAAGTTGAAAATCATCACTTCATAGCTATCAAAAGTTCACAATACGTAACAATCACAGGGTAAGGTTGTTAAGCTATGAAAAAATAGTGCAACTTTTGAGACTTCTAGCATTTGTTCCTGTATTAACCTTATGGAAGGAATAAATATGAATTTAGAAGTCAAACTACTCATTAGATGGCTGAAATACAAAAGAACTTACTTTCAAATAAGTAGAAAATAAATAAAAACTTCAAAACATCTTTCAGAAAGAGGTATAAAGTCACATGCTTTGAATAAAGCATATGTGGGAAACATTCTGGGATCTCAATCAGTTTATGGAAACAACTGGTAGAATAATACAAAGATCTGATGATGTACAAATTGTCAGTACAATTATTATATAATACATTGTAGTACACATATATCTCAAAAAAATTCTTACATGGTATTTTTAGCAATGAAAGGCTGGCCAGATATTTCCAAGTGACACTCAGTTATGTTTCTAGATATTTTGTGATTCTAACCAGGCAGCAATTAAACAGACCATTCTCTCTCCATAGTCATCGTAATGATAACTTCTGATATAGTTGTGATGTTCACATTTCATGTAAATAATTTTCCTCAAACAAGCCTGCCTCTATCTATCTATCTATCTATCTATCTATCTATCTATCTATCTATCTATCTATCTATCTATCTATCTCTGTATTTTTTATTTATATATATATATAGATAAAATTTTGTTTCCTTTGGGTCCTTTTTTTCTCAGTTAGCTGGGGAGCAGCTGCTTTCAGTTATGCTGCTGTCAACTTTTATAACTTCTTGCTACACAGCTCATGTTTTCATGTGTTAATAGACTAAATCTCAAATTTATTGAAGTTAAATGACTGGAAACAGCCTGTAATTAATAGTGCATTGCTCTTCAGCTTTTGTGCAGTTAGTATAGTACCAATTCATTTGTGTACTTGTGAAACCATGCAAAGATGTTACCATTCAGTCAAGAAATAGTGGGTTTAGAGTGTAAAAACCTCACATTTATATTTATTTTTTTACCACTTAATGAGAGATATGGAAGAACCAGTATTCCAGTTAATGGTAGAACAGGTACTGCAAAGGAAAGTAAGTTTATATTAAAAAGTGTATTTTCATTAACAAGTGTTGTTATACTTATTTTTCTTCAGTTTGTCTTACTTCAGATCACAAATTTTCAGTAGTGAAAATAAGACCATAATTAAAAAAAAATAAATTACAATGACACTGAACGAGAAAGCTAAGAATATACACTTACTCAACAATAGCATCTGAAGTATATTCTATAATTAATGCTAAATAAGTCCTGTTTGAAATTTAAAAAAACCAAAACAAACAAAAAACAAGAGCCAAAATATATATTAAAGAATGCTGTATTTTGGGTCGATGCCCAAATGTGAAAAGCCACATGAAATGAACAGTTGTCAGCTTTCTTTTCCTCTTATGGTACTAAGAAATACTGAGTTTGAGTGGGGTAACTAGTATAATTTAACTAAAATATATCAACACAATTAGAAGAATATTAAAAAAAAAAAGTTTTTTAAGCATATGCAAGAAAGCCACAGAATCCTGAAAGCATTCCAGTTTCTTCTGTTTATTTCGAAGACCGCAAAGGTCTTATAATAGAAGTAAGATTAAATATAGTAGTATATACCACATTAAAATGGTAAACTAAGAAAGCATTTGTACTTTAAAATAAGGGACTCTGAAAATGACAGTAAGATCTACCTGTGTAATGCCTCATATGCCACAGGATGATGCAACCAGGAAAAAGAAAATAGGATGAAAGGATGTTTTGATACAGTATTTCCAGCAAAAACAGCAAGGTTTTAATGCTGTTCCTGCACTTTCTGTCAGTTGTATTTAGGAAAGCTGATTTAAACAGCAAAGGTCAGAGAAGGGCTAGTGTGATAAAAGCACAACTTGGATGACTGGAGAATGACAACACTTTCTATCAGAAAATGTGAGAGAGACGTGGTTTGTTTAATCTAACAAAATAAAGACAGACTTGTATGACTGCTCTCCAGGTAGTGCCTTGACACAGACACCAAGGAGAGGAAAACCACTAAAGCTAAATGACAATACTGCTGCATGTACTAGAAATTTTATATACTTGAGAAGATCTCTAATCCTGTGAGCAATGAAGACACAGACTATAGGACACAAAGGATGTCTGCTAGATTTGTGTACCTCACATTAGAGATGTGAGTGTAAAACATGCAAATTTGCGTGTTGAAGATCCAAAATCAATTACATAAAACAGATCCTTACCATCGATGTTCATTCCATATGATAGAAATAGGTAGAACCATTAAAAAACAATTAGCTTTCTGCCAAAATTAAGGAAACCTGGCCTAAGGAAACCTGTAGATTACCTAACACTTCTACAAAACTAGTTATCAACGCTGTCCTCACACTGGACTTGCAATCAAGATTGTAAAAAAGTTTATCTGGCTACTGTGCTGAGTCATGCAACTACTTAAATGGTGATTATTTTTGTAAGCTTTTTGTAAAAAAACAAACAACAAAACAAAACACACAGAAGACCTGAGAGGTGCCTGGAGCCACAATGTAAGCTGGAAGACTAATTTAAAAGATGGTTTTCTGAATGTTACAGGCAGAAGACTTGGCTGACAACACAA